CTGCATATTCAGTTTAATCTGCTTCACATGATGATAAAATTCCACACTATACTTAGATAAACCTAATTCAGTAGGTGAATCTATGCTCTAAAATTTATTAATTTTTATCAAAGTCCACTGATTACTTAAAAATAGAAAGCAATCTTACCTGAATCATAGTACCTAAAGAATAAATGATTAGGAATGACCACATGAATATCCACACAGTGACACTAAATCTTAGGAATATTTTTTCTGATTTTATTATCTTAGTATAACCATGAGAGTATGTCATACACGAAATTTTGGAGTCACAATGGAAAATCGGCTGATTCACTGGGTCAAGGAAATCATAAATATGAACAGAGGAAAAAAAAAAGTTCACATATACATTATTGTGTCCTTGGATTCTTTGCATAGTTTGAAATTTTTAACAGCTGGTGTGAGGAGGAGAAGACAACTGGAGCTTGGGGCTTGCCCGATTTGAACAGCAGGGTCAAATGACAAAAGCAAAAGAAACAGAACAAGAAGCATCTGGCATTCTGGTTTGGGACTATATATTCCTCATCCCTCCCTTCATGGAGAATATGTCACCACGTTAGAAATGCTCTTGATTCCTGGTATAATTCCTTTTATATCAAAACTCCTTTTCATCCAGAGACTATAACTATTTTGGTAAAGCTTCCAAGTTCTAAAGGAAAACACTGGCTGTATTTTAAAAAGCAAGCATGAAGAGCCGTATAATTTATTTCTTAACGTTGCACCAGAATGTTTATTTAACTGCTCAATACCAATTTTACAGCTAAAGATGATCGAGCTAGAAACAAAGCTGGGTCAATTCTTTCAGAGTAATAAGGGAAAAGGAACTGAGGATAGAAGTGGAAAGATGACCCAGGTCTAAGCAGTCTCCACTTTCTACATTTATTCCAGGACTTGCTCAGCCAAACCTCTTGATGGCCTGGTCCTGAGGAGCAGGTAGACTAGGATGTATGTGCTTCGAATTCACTGGCTTCCAGGGAAGCCTGAAGCCGGCCTTGCCACGGTTCTTCCCAGACCAATTCTCACCCATTCCCAATCAATTCTCATTTTCTCTTTCTCTCTGTCCGTCTGTCTGTCTCTGTCTGTGTCTCTTTTTCCCTCTCTTTCTCTCTGTCTCTGTCTAATCATTGATCAACCTCTGTTACCCAATTTCAACTTCTCCTTCTACCCTGAGATTAAATCCATCAGTATATTGTGTTTTCTGCCGATATTCTAGTTCTACTACTTAGTAATGTTCTGGTATTGGACAACGTTTTCCTAATATTATCCCCTTTCTGGATTCTTATAATTTATACTCTTCCTCCCTGCTTAAGTATTATACTCTTTCTTACTGCTTAAGTATTCATTCTAATGTATATGAATAAAATTTACTTTCGGAAATATTTTAAGTGTACTTCCAGGATGAATAACATGTTCAGAATTAAACATAACTGACTACCCTCATTTCAGTCATTTTGCCTTGACTCTGCTCGAATAGAAGTTAACTTATATTTCTATTTCTGCAAATTGACAGTAAGGGATTAAAAAAAAGCTTATAGTGATAGACTGCTGTTTACCAGATACTCCTTTCCATCCTCTACATGGGATCTCTTATCCAGAAAGCCTAATTCTGCCAGACTAATCAAACTTACAGCACTGCCATCCTTTTCATACATATAGTCATTACCAATCATAGCATCACTAAACTCACAAGACAGCTTACCTCATTAAGGCTAACCTCCCCTCCAGAACATGCCATAAACCACATATCTACTGTATTTCTTCTTGCTCAGCTTTCTCACTACATGAATGACAATGGCCACTCCAAGTTCCTGGCCCTCTCTAGAAGCTCTCCTGCTCATGTTTCTCTCACCTAGGAGGTCTCAATTTGTTTTTTCCTGAATTCTTCCACTTGGGTTCACTCAAATCAAGCTCTGCCACCTATGGAAGATCTCTGTAAAGAGAAATTATGGGCTTAGTCAGAAGACACTGCTTTGAGCTGTTTTGCTGTAAGTCTGCTCTACACTAAGTAAATCCGTATAATTTAAAGGAAAAAAAAAACCTGCTGCTACTTTATCTGAAGCTAATATTAGTAAGAAAATTTAGTACAGAAAGGGATCTGGGCATCACAGAGGGGCAAGGAGGTCTTGTTCAACCATACTGGTCCCCTCTTTACAAATTACTGCATCCCCCAACTATATTAGGGTTGAGTAGGTCCTATTCTTCAGTGTTACTGCAGCAGAAAAAGGACTATCAACTTCACCCACTTGCGGAGAACAAAGAAAGGCATAAATTCTACTTCTGGATTTTTAGTTTAATTAATGTGACTCTCCTGTTAGCAAGAGCAAACTGTTTAACTTCTTTAAGCTGAGATGGAGACTAGAATTTCCATCTGGATGAGCTGTTTTAACAAAAAAATATATTATGAAAATACAAGCACAAAATAAGCACTCAACAAAAGGTAGCTATATATGTATGTGTGTATGTGTGTGTGTGTGTGTGTGTGTGTGTATGTGCTTGTTTGTATTTGTATATAACACATAATATAGTCCCTGACTTATACCCGAATGCCTGATTTATACTCATTCAGGTATAAGCATTGGGAGTAAGCTGTTCCTATTTGTTGGGGTCTCTGATTTGTTGTCAGAATGCCCTAAACTCTAGAAACCTGGTGTAGAATTTTGTGCTCATGTGTGTTGGTATATTTTTCTAAACAAACGCTTTACCGATTGCATCAGGGCCTGAAATGATTAGGGCAGTTGCGGCAGTTGATTTAAGGGAAGTCTGAAGCGACTAAAGAAAGGCCTCTGGTTCTTTGAGGGGAAACAGAGATTACCAGCGCGAGTCTCGGCCTGTTCCCCTCCTTCCTGGAGCTCACACGGGTGCCGCCCAACCTTGTCTCTTCATTGTGCCCTAAGGACCAGGGTCGTGGCGCGGACGCTCAGTTTACCTCAGAACACTCGAGTCGCGGCGGAAGTCCGCGGTTCCTCAGCAGACCGCGGGATTACACTTCAAACCCAGCGCCACAACAGGGCCAGCACAGAGGCTGGGCCGCACGGGGTTCTC